GCTTTTGTCCATTTTACTGTACTGTACATATAGTTTGCCCGCCATTGTGTGTGTATTTGTCTGCCATGTTAGTAAAATATCTCATTACCCTGGACAAAGTATAATGAAACTTTCAGAGCTGAATCACTGGATGTACATATAAAACAAATGAACTTTTGGAGTCAACTCATATTTAAAAACTCCCACAGCTAACTTTAATTTAGCAAATACAAATTATTTCTCGATGTTGTTACAAAAAATGGTTTAAATTTTGTGGGAGTAGCGAAGAGTCGTTCGCAACACACATTCTGAGCACTTGCAGATCACATGAGATTATGCAATAAGATGATATTATAATGAGATCAAAATGTAACAAAAAACATAAAATGATCATGACTTCCTTTGAGTGACGCTATAGATTTTAATCTTCATTGCAATCGACGCCAGAGAAAACTAGATTTTTTCCTGTTGTTTGCCAGTTTTGTGTCCTGTGCCTTTTTTCACACATCATTGTTGTTTGCTTCATGTTGAAATTGTTGTTAAAGTTGATTCACTATTTCTAAAAGTCACAAAGCTGCTTCTTTTTTTTAAAATTATTCATAACTTAATTTAGCTCTATTGTTTTTGAGACAGAACCACAATGTCATCACAATTCTTTTGGCTGGTATGACACAAAAACTGTATGAGAGGAAGTCAGTTACATTGCATGGAATTATTTAAAAATTATGTTCCATAATAGAAACTCTGTAAAAATATTTAAAGTGAAGTATCTGTGGGGTAAGATAATTTGCAAACATTATAGAGCCAAATCCAATAATTCTCAGTCAGATCATCTGGACAGTTTCTTTTTTATAGAGCCAAAGTTTCTTTGTAAGGTGCAAGTTTTAAAAAAACAAGATAGTGGTTTATGGGATTATTGCTCTTGTGATCAGATTTAGCTTATTACCACCTGTGGGATCAGATTAACAACATGAAGATCCAGATTAAATACATTCAGAGACAGCACCCACTTTCATTTGGCAGTCCAAAGTAAATTGCAGCAACGGATGAGGATGGACTTTTATTTAACTAATTGAGTCCTGAAAGGAAGTCAAAAAAGAAAACACACAAAGAGATGCTGAGCAAGAGCCATAAAAAAAACAAAAAAATTATTTTGTTTGCACTCATTCCTGGGGAGCTGTGTGAAGAGGTCAGGAGAGGTCAGCACAATACAAGATTAGGCCATTAGAGAGAGAAGAACTGTGCCAGAATAATCCCCTCGTCCTAATCTCTCTTTCTCCCTCCCCACTGCTAATGGCTGCAAGACAATAAGATGCAGTAATCTGTCCACTGGGATGGCACAGGGCTACACCGAGATATCTGCCCGAGTACAGCGCAGATAGGCTAAAATGTTTTGAAGATTATTTCACTGGCATTTTCTGCTTTATTAGATAGAGCCTGGTGGGGGACACGAGAACCATGAGGGAGACGCAAACAAGAGAGGGGTGAAACAGTAAGAAAAAAAAAAAACTGTGAGCAAACACCGCTTCTCTTACTGGTGGTGTTTGTGTGGGTTCATTTGGGTTAAATTGTGGCTTGCAGGCAGTAAAAATAAAATGACACAAGACAAAGAAACTACCGGTGGTAAAGACTATAAACACAAACTGTGGCAGTTTAACATAGACTGAGTCAAGAATCTTGTGAAGACTTGTTAAATTGTGCAAAACATCACGGTTAAGTAACGTTACATGTGTTTGACACTGAAAGTTTGAAAAGGTGTATTTGAGCTGACTAGCAAATGTTATATTTTACTATATTAATGGAAATGGAGTTGAGAAAGTCTCTCTCGCGACTTTGCTTTGGGACTTTTAACACCATTATTTAGCCTGAAGAACTACACTCTGTTGCCGTCAATTTTGTAGAAGCATTGAGTTCTTTTCCAGATAAATCCTATGATTGTTGGCTGCACTTTACACTAACTGCACCAAAAATGTAATAGTTTGTTTTCAAATGCAATCTTTCTGCAGTGAATTGGATGTACTGTTAACAAATTTAGTGCAATCATGTGTTGATCTTTTATGGCTCCTCCAAATGCCACTATTTTTGGTTCATTTACTTCAATTAATTTCTCTATAATAGAGTGTTTGAGGCTTTTTCTTTCCTGGTGCTGCTTCAAAATTTGGTTAAATTATATTTAGGATTATTTAGTGACAGAAATTAAAACAAATATTCATAACGGCAACATGATCTTATTCAATTAAATTCAATTCAGTTCAGTTTATTTATATAGCGCCAAATCAAAACAAAGTTGTCTCAGGGCACTGTACAGGAACATTCACATACATAAAAGCCAATTAGTAAAGTTCTCTATCTAAGGAATCCAGCAGACAAGTTGAATCTTGGCTTCGTTGCAGTCTCCCATCCTGAGCAAGCACAGTGGCAACAGTGGAAAGGAAAAAACTCCCTTTTAAAAGGAAGAAACCTCCAGCAGAACCAGGCTCAGGACAAGCGGACATCTGCTTTGACTGGCTGGTTTGAGAGGACAGGAAGGAGAGACAGATGAACACAGAATGGTAGGTCCAGCTATATGTCCATGTGTATCTGAAAGACAAAAAAAACACGTTAAGGATAGAAAAAATAATTACAAATACAAAACAGGTTGAGCAGAGTAAGTAAAGACAGTAGCAGAGTGAAAATTGTGGTCAGTTTGTCCTCCAGCAGTCTAAGCCTATAGCAGCATAACTAAGGGACAGCTCAGGAAACCCAAGCCGACCCTATAGGATTTAGCAAAAAGGAAACTCTTAAGCCTAGTTTTAAAACTGGATAATGTGTCAGCCTCACGGACAGAGATTGGAAGTTGGTTCCAGAAGAGAGGAGCCTGATAACTGAAAGATCTGCCTCCCATTCTGTTTTTGTAAATTCTAGGAACCCCAAGTAAATCTGCAGTCTGAGAGTGAAGTGCTCTGTTAGGAAAATATGGAACAATAAGATCTGGAAAATAAGATGGAGCCAGGTTGTTGATAGCTTTGTAGGTTAGAAGTAAGATTTTGAATTCTATTCTGTATTTGACAGGGAGCCAATGGAGAGAAGGTAAAACTGGAGAGATATGGTCTCTCCTACTAACTCCAGTTAAGACTCTGGCACCAGCATTTTGGATCTTATTGGTGTAGAACTGCACACACACACACAAATAAAAAATAAAAAGTAAAGGTATAGTTTAATTACATTAGAAAAAGCTCTCTCCTTGCAGAACAACCCAAGCACCGACTGCATGGTTTTAGTGTTCTTATTTGATTTGGAGCTGAACTGAAACATCCACTTAGCTGCAATTTGCAAATTAAGTCACTAGATGTCACTAAATGTAACCAATTAGATATTAAATAAACTGATGCATCCATCCATTATCTTTACCTGCTTCTTCCTTTTTGGGTCGAGGGGGTTGCTGGTGCCCATGTCCAGCCATCATTGTGCGAGAGGCGGGGGACACCCTGGACAGGTCGCAAGTCCATCACAGGGACACATAGAGACAAATGAGACAAACAACCATTCACTCTCTCACTCACATCAAGAGACAATTTAGAGTCAGTCTAACATGCATGTTTTTGGTCTGTGGGAGGAAACTGGAGTACCCGGAGAAAACTCATGCATGCACGGAGAGAACATGCAAACTCCACCCAGAAAGGCCCCTGACCGGGATTTGAACCAGGGTAGTCTGCTCGCTGAGAGGCAGCAGCTCTACCAGTTGTGCCACCGTGCTGCTCAAGACTGATGCAGCAAAATTAAATATTTTATCTAAGTGAGTGTTGCTTCCTTCTTCAGTGTTCACCATAGCAAGCAAACTCATGAAATACTTGGCAATTTTTTTTTTTACACTAGATGTTTTTCCTGACACAAACTGGGCTCAAACCAGTAGCCTCAGGATTACAGGACAGCAGCACTGACCACCAAGCAACGCAGCCCCACATCGCACCACTCTTTAAATGTATATGGGCTAATTAAATACAACATCTTAAAAAGCAACATTTTGCTTCTGGAAACTTTCTAGTTTCCCAGAGAAGAACATGCAAGATGTTTGCACATTTGCAGTGCTTTTATTTTTTTGTTTGTTTTGTTTTTACATATGTGGAACAGTAAGTCCTAATAGAATCCATTCAACCACTTGTTTTGGTTGCAATCATTTTTCTTCTTTTAATTTTTATTAAACCAAGTAACACAATCTAAATTTCCCTACTTATAGGGGAAAGACTCCACATGCACACATTTGGATCATGTGATTTCAACAAATACTAAGTATCTGGTGAATAAGCTAATTATGCACTTTGTTGCATAGCATGAAAATATTCTTTCATATTTATCAGAACACATTAATAAACATACACTGTAGATGTGTTGTTTAAATTAATAACTTCTAGTGGACATACGGCTTGTTTTAGTTGTAATTAGTTCTTTGTTTTCAATTTGTTTTGCTGTATTAACATGGAAAACAATGAAACAGATATCAGAAATGTAAAATGACAAAACGTCTTGTTTTGGAAAGGGGCCTTTCTAAGTACAAATAAAAAAAAACATGTCCAGATTGGTTTTAATGTCACCTTCTCTCTCTCCATGTCCGTCAGTCTCTCTTACTTCAACCTCAATGGGTGAAAACCTAAAATGGGTCACACGCCCACGTTTAATAGATTCCCACATGACCAGTGGGGTGATTTGCTTTTAGTACAGGTCCCATGATGAGGGGCTAAATGTTTCATTTGGGTCCCAAGTTGAGAAGATTTAAGAGCTCTGGTCCTGAATGATAGCTAGACCTCGAGCTCAGCGACAGACTGTACGGGGACAGAGAGTCCTTGGCCTTCGCTCTAATTCTCACCCAGGCCCAGTGAAGGGGTCTGTCCACAGCTGATAAGTGGTTTTAATGTGATCTCACTCTTCTTTTCTCCTCTATTCCTCTCTCTTCATTACTGCTGTGCCCCTTCATTCTCCTACATTTTCTCACCTCTCCCTCTCATCTCGTTTGTCTCGTCTGTTTCTGCCTCGTTCTGTCACAGATGATGGCACGGCTCCAGCTGCAGATGACAGGACTTTTGACTACCTTGGCTTTGTCCTTCTGTCTTGTTGTTGCTGAAGACTTTGGTCTTGTAGCCATGGTACCAGAGATACAAGACTCAGCTGATGCTGTGAAAAAAGAATCCCATCTGGTGCTGACCAGACAGAAGAGAGAATGGATCTGGAACTCTCTTTATGTGGAAGAAGAAAAACCTGCACCCAGACCTTACAAGATTGGACAAGTATACTTAAAACTAATTTATACTCACTTATTATTTTAAGTGTATAGTCTTACATCAGTGGTTGTTTTAAAAGGAGGAAATTTGTTATTTTCATGTGACAAGGATCTAGATTATTGACTTGTTGCCTTCCAGGTTTTAATGAATATGTGAACAATTTTGCCAGAGAATTGAGTTAATTTGTAGAAATTAGCTTGGAGGTTGTTGATTTGGTTCCTCAGTCCAGCTGGGAGAATGTTTATAGTTGAAGCCTGTTTTGCTTTATTTTCTGCAGCTCAAGTCAAGCAAGAACGTGGAAGTGAAGAAGTTTAAAATAGATGGTGAAGGAGCAAACACCATCTTCACGGTGGATGAAAAGGGCGGCCTGTTTGTCGGAACATCTCTGAACAGAGAGGAGAAGGCCTTGTATCATTTAACAGCTCGAATGTTTGACGGGAACAACAAGTTGATAGAGGACGCTGGGGAATTTGTGGTGCAGGTGACAGACATCAACGACAACGAGCCCATTTTCCCCAGGACGTACAATGGTTCTATAATGGAAAGGTCTCTTGTAGGTATGTACTGTAGGTAAAAACTAGATCAAAATTTCATCAATTGATTCTTTTACACACAAGATACTGTTAAATTTGATTTATTTGTAAAGCCTTCAAAGATAGAATGTCTTAATAGGAGCTAATGTGCTACAACAATTAAATATAGATGTGGAAAACTGATAAGTGAAGCCAAGCCTACATTTTTTATGAGTGTATGAGTGTAGCAGTAAAGTATTGAAAATGTATTAATCAGTGCTATCTTATTTAAAAAATATGGTACCACTTTACAATAAGGCTTTCCTTATAGATGGCTAATAAATAGTTTATAGATATGTTATTAATTGCTCTATAAACACTGTATAAACCATTAATAACTGCCTATTATGCATTAATTAAAGGTGACAGAAACAAAACTGACCAGTTTCTTGCCAAATAGTGAGACAAATCTGTTCACCTATATATAATTCATCTAGAGTTATTATATTAAACATTTCAGACTATGTTACTACCTTGTAAGCACAATAAGCATTTGTAAACCTATTTCTTTAACAAATAATATTGTGCTTTATCACTCTGTGATGGACTTGCGACCTGTCCAGGGTGTACCCCGCCCCTTGCACAGTGATTGCCGGACATGGGTACTGGCCCAAAATGGAAGAAACGGGTAAAAGATAATGGATGGATGGATTGTACTTTATCACTGCATTATAAGTATCTACAACTAGTATATCCTAAAAAATAGGTTTACAAATGCTTATTGTGCTTACAAGTAGTGACTTAGTCTGAAATGCAAAGTTTGTTTTCTCAGTCATCCAGGTATATAACAACAAAAAAGGTTGAATCATGTCATCTGGACTTCGTTTTCTTGTTAAAAAGAAACGTTTCGCCCCTCATCCAAGAGGCTTCGTCAGTCTGAGGCCTAGCCATCTGGTATTACCCAGAAGCCACCCTGACTCTTGTGTTTCAAGCCTGCCTCAGATACCCCTGAGGTTTGGCCTTTTCACTAATGGTTTCAAAAAACCATTAGTCTGAAATGTTTAATATAACAACTCTAGATTAAATATATAGGTGAACAGATTTGGTTCACTATTTAGCAAGAAACTGCTAAGCTTTCTCTCTCTGTCACACTTAATTAATGCATCATAAACAGTTATTAATGATTTATAAAGTGTTTATAGAGCAATTAATAATGTATCAATAAACTATTTATTAGCCATCTATAAGGGGAGCCTTATTGTAAAGTGGTACCAAAAATATTGTAGAGTGGACTGCAAAAAAAAAAATGCTCACACCTGCCACCACTATTAGTGCATCTCTCTGTGAATATAAGTACATTAGTGACTCAATTTGGCAATTTTAGCACCTAATCATATTGAATTAAGTCAAACCTTCATAATGGTAAATGCAAACATACATCCTTATATAATAGCTTTTGCAAAACTATAAGATAATTTTCTTTTTATAGATTTTTGTAAAAATTAATTATGTATTTATTATGTGCAATAATCTCAACCATGTAGGAACTAAAGTGGTTCAAGTGAAGGCAACTGATGCAGATGACCCAAATACTGCCAACGGAGAGCTCAAGTACTCTTTGACTTCAGCTGGAGACACTTCTGCCTTCGAAATCCACCCTGATGAAGGTTGGCTCCCTGAAACGACATCCACCCTACCTTCTACCCTGCAGCAATACTTTATCCCCACCTTTTTATCAAATTAATTTGGTGAAGCTGCTGTTGAGGAGGCTATTTTTACATGAGCATGAGTCAGAGTTGACCTCATATATAACACCTTCTTTGTCGCTCGGCAGGTGTGATCAGCTGCAAGATAAACACTCTGGACCGAGAAACCACGAGTCAGTATGTGCTGGTGGTAAAAGCTCAGGACATGAGAGGAATGGCCACTGGCAACACGGCCACCACCACTGTCACCATCACCATCACTGATGTCAATGACAATTTAGCTTCATTCACCAAAAGTAAGACACATACCGTATGCAAATCAAAGGTCATGATAGGAGGGAGATTCATTTTTTATGTCGGCCGATTGGTTGCAACAGTTAACATATACATGTATATAACCTTTCTTAATATGTGTTTCCTGTCCACAGAGTCGTATTTATTGTATGTTCCAGAGAACCACAGGCTGAATGAAAACATTGGTACTCTGGTGCTGGAGGACAAAGATCAGATTCAAAACAAACAGCCCACATTTTCTATTCAAGGTGGATTTAGTGAAATATTCAATGTTGAGCTCAACCCTAACAAGGACGGCAACCTGGTGCTTAAAAAGGTAGGCAGGCTGCAAATATGTCCATGTATGTGTAAGCACATCAGTAAAAATTGTACATGTGGGTGCTGAATATGAGCTCTTAAAACACTGTCTGTTGTCTTATTTTGTCTGAAACATACGTCTTCTAATCATCATGAGTGTTTCTAATAATATTCATGCCACAGTCTCTTCAAGTCTCTCTGGCAACTGTTTATACCCTTGGATGGGAATCACTGAAGTAGAAAGGGATATATCACATGGATGCACTCTTTTTATGTTTACTCCAAAAATAAATCAAAGTGGTTGAGGATGTAACATCCTCATACATAAATGTTCAAGCCCCTAAACTGATGGGATGCTCCTGCATGAGCATTAAGAGCTGAGCGCAAAAATATATTCTGGCACGTTCACTAATGTTACAAACATTCCAGAGTTGATGATAGCAACGGTGCTGTTGACAGGATTTCCATAAATCTAATATTTGAATATGTTGATGTTTATTTGATCGTGCTTCCTTACTCGTCATGACACCCTGTTGCAAGTAATTGCATTATAAAATGCAAACCTATAGCTTCAGACTTGAGATGTTTCTGCCGGATGATGGAAATGTGCAACACCAGTGTTGGAGCTGCCTCCTTCCAGTTGGAAAACATATTTTTGTTTGCAGGAACTTTGGCAGGTTTACTTCACCAGATAAAGGATTTAGATATTCAGAGCTGAATGTGTATTTTGGTGAAATAGGCTTCATTATACCCTGCACACATGCTGCTCTGGAACCAAATCGCAACACAATCTTCACTTCTCCCCTCTCAGCTCTGCAGCCCGTCTCATCTTCCTCTCTGATTTGTGTTTACAGACTAAAGCCAGCTTTCGGCCACATGGCGGTTCAGGTTTCATTCACGTTGAGCTGTTTACAAATGCCTTTGATACCCAGCGAACGAGTTTCCCTGTTATCGTGAATAATCCGGTTAACAAAATATTCTCGTCTACCTAAAACTACCCACTGAAGAAAAGTTTTGGTTTCATCTGCAACACAAATGAGACTGTAAGGAAAACATGCTGCCATGTATTTCACAAGACTAAGGGGAAATCATTTTCAAAATGGAAGAAAAACAGCCCTCAATCTCTGAACTGAGCTGGCTTTAATTTTCTTAGGAATTTTAGAATAATCTCATGAGAAATTGTGAAACAGTCACGTAAAAAAAAAAATCAGTCTAAACTATCTATTATCCATCCATCCATCCATCCATCCATCCATCCATCCAT